GTGACTAAAGCAGAGCTCAGTCTGAAAACTAAGCTCTCGGTGTTCAAGTCGATCTTTATCCCCATGCTTACATACGGTCATGAATCGTGGACCATGACTGAAAAACTTCGAACCCGGGTAAAAGCTTCTGAAATTGGCTATCTTAGGCGAGTAGGTGACTATGCGCGTCTCAACATTGTCCGGAATACTAATATGCGAAGGAGCATTGGTATAGAGCCTTTTCATCTCCAGATTTAAAAGTCACAGCTGCGATGGTTTGGGCATGTAATGCGAATGCCTTCAGAAGGGGAAGCTAAGCAAGTTTCTTGTTGCGCTTGTCGCGTTTCTTGTTCAAGTTTCTTGCTAAGCAAGTTCTTGCAAATCCGACCGGCAGACAGCCCAGGGAGCGGCCATGACTAACCTGGTCAATGATATGGAAGGAGTCTGTTCCAGACTCCAGTTGTCTTCTGCCGAAACCCAGACTCTGGCATAGGATCGGGAATGTTGGAAGCCCTGTCTGACGCGCCTTCCTTCGCGACTCGAAAGGAGAAGCGGCCATGGAAGATGAAAATGATACAGTGACGGCTACTCTGCTTAATTCTGGTTCAGTGATTTTGCGGCAGACTACGTCAGAAGGGTTAATACATTTTTGGGTGAATTGTGCGACTGATTGCAGGTCAGAAACACCTCGACGTTTTCGGTAGTCGCCCACTGCGGTTGAATCTCGGAGCGCGATCATGGGAGCATCAACCTTAAAATGTGTACGGCTCAAATTATAGAGTTCCACCGTTCAGCTGCGTCCTTATCATCGAGTTTCACTATGACCAGAAGGGCAAAGACAGTTTTCAGTAATTTGAGGTTAAGTCATAAACGCAATATATTTAAAACTTAAGCTGTACATATTTTTAAAAGCGCTTGTGTTTTTGAGTCAGCGAATTCTCTTCATGCTGGCAATACCTTGTGCATAAACTGATAAATTTTGATTGATTAATTTTGAGTTTGTCCAGAACTGCGCTCAATAACGTCCCAGGATAATTCCTTCTATTGGTTGCTGTTTAGTATCATATACATGAATTTATTCGTCTCT